TTATTCCATGAAAATTAGTTATCCAGACACACTCGTAATCTGGGACTATTACCAGGTTTTTTTTGTTCAAAGAATAATTACAGAAGCAGTGACACTTGAAATGATGGGGCTAATTTGAAATAAAGCTCCATATAATTTTAACCTCAATAAGAAAAGAAGAATACTACTAACCCAATGGAACCTTCAGATCTCTTCAACTCTCGTCTCAATTCTTCAATTCGCCGCTTTCTTAGCTCTTCAAACCAAAAACTTGGAGATAGACGAAATGGAAGCAAATTTATTAACACACTAATGTCTAATAGCACAATGGACTCCAAAACATTGGTTAATAAATTTACTTCCTGAAGCATATACATCATTAGCGATACAATAATTAAATTTCATGAGTCTAAGCTCATTTATTTACCTGCAGCCAGAGTACCGCTTTCGCAAATTCTCATACCTGGCCTTGCAAGCCTGGAATTTTAAATGTTTCAATTAATTTGAAATGCAAAGAAACAGGAAAACCATATAAGAGCATTGCACATTAGCAAAGTAATCTAACTTTCCATACAAAATGCCTCCTTGAATTTATTTTTAAACAAATAAATAATCCTCATTATCTTAAGAGACATGGCGTAAAGTTAAAGCTTTAAAGAAAGCGAACTGCTTGTACCCTGCTAAAAGGACGTTTGTTACTTTGGTTTTTGCCATGGAATGATTCCTAGGAAAGCCGGGAGAAAAGAATTTGATATCCAACTAGCTGAGGAAAAAAGCAAGTTGATTTCCTAAATAAATTTACATCTACTCCGTACAATTTTACGTTCTTCAAATATTCACAAACAATATGAATTGAGATACTAATCATACTAGTGATGTTATTATTAGCCAATCCCTCCGTTGACTCACTATTCACTGGGTCAAATGATATCTTCTTTCCTTTCGTTGCATATTTTCATTAATTATTTGCTAAATAACATAGTCAAGCCACCCTTGTTTTGCCAAAAATCTCGTGGTCCACTAGCATTACTCTGGCTCTCCCAAATAAGAGGTAACACATTCGTAACTCAGTGGGAGTGTTAACTCTTTGCTATTCACTAGGTTGAGATATAGTATATATGAACGGATACAACATTGTAATAGAGTTAGTAGTGTTCAAAAATATAACTATTTTTGAATCGTAAACTAACTTTTCAAAATTGAATTGAAAATAACATCACACAACCAATGTTACCGAAACGAGAGCACTAATTTGAATGCAACGAAGGTAGTAAACCATTAATTGTTTGCTAACCTCGGGGGTAAAGCTGTTAGGGTAGAGAGTCCGAGCCTTGAGCTCGGAAGCCACGGCGCTCCAGTCATCCGTACCATGCCGGAGAACAGCGCCGCCAAGGATAAGCTCCTCCCAGGTTCCCCACCTCCTCTTAGGCCCCACCACCATCTCTTCCACGATGAAAATCCTTCACATCCCAGGTAGATTTTCCATATAATTAACCACCTTCCGAAACAAGTTAATCAATCAATAACCGATTGAATTTGAAATTCGCTCCAGAATTAGGGTCCGAACCCACCCTAGCACCCGATTCAACGGCCCTCCGCAAAAGCCAACTCCTCTCTGCCGATTAAATTCGAATTCAACCAAAAGAAACAATTATCGGAGCCGCAATCGCAACAGGAACGGGTGGCGAAACGGGATTTTGTTATTGTTGTATGATGATGCAAATGGCGGGACTCCGGTCGGCGGTTATCGGAGTTTCGATTGCTTGTGGACTACGGCAAGGGGAGAAAAAGAGTTGAAAGAAATTGAGAGTTTCCCGTGGAGAAGAAGAAAGAAGAAGGAAGATAAACTCGGATTTCCAATGAGAAAAACATGGGGCTGGGGAAGAAAAGGAATTAACTGCTTTTCTTTTCCTCCGTGGGAATCTCGGATTCTGCTGCGATTCTGGTAAAATCCATTGATGTTCAAATGACGAAATGACTGCAATGACCTCGTCTTTTTGAGATATTCACGTCAATGTCCTCTCCCTCATCAATTCGTAGTATTTGAACTAGGATTTCATTTCAATTCATGCATTTCAATTTCAAAATATAAAAACTTGAATTTCAAATAAAAAGATAATGTGCATTGATTTAAAATTAAACTTTGTTATGAATAAAAAGAATTTGATTCAAATCCAAATTCAAAATCTTTAAATTTTCCAAACATGGAATTTTAGCCAAATCCGGATATGAAATCCAAATCCATATTTCCAAACATACCATAAAATCATTTCACATACTTCCTTTGTCTAAAAAAATGTCACAGTTATTATTTTAGTCTTTCGATAACTTTTATTTGGTTACTCATTTAAGTTGATCATTTGATAAAAAATAAATAAATTATTGTTGTTGAATCTTGTCTTGTAAAATTTTTGAAGTAATTTTTACATTTTATTTCTCTACTAATTTATAAATAAAATTATTTTAAAAAGATGATATTCTACACGTTCTTCGAAATGTTGCAAACAATTTGGGATGGAAGAAGTATTTATGTATTTTGGTTCCCATGACATTGGATTGGGAACCAATGTCATGGGAACCTTCCCCTTTTTATATTTATTCAAAGTATGTATGGAGTAAATTATAAAACACCAAGGTTTCCATAACATTGGAATCCAATGTCATGGGATGATCCGGGGGCGCTCCGGTGCCCCGTTCGTAAAATTGATGATTCCTACCCCCCTAACCCCTCTGGTAAACCCCCCACCCGCCCCGACCCAAACACACCCCCTATCCCCGTCAATTGCATCCCACAAATTGATTTTGACTTTGGAGTCAAAAGCCCCGACCTGAACACACCCACTATCCCCGTCAATTGCATCCCACAAGTTGATTTTGACTTTGGAGTCAAAATTTGACTCCAAAATCAAAATCAACTTGTGGGATACAATTGACGGGGATAGGGGGTGTGTTCAGGTCGGGGCGGGGTGGGGGGTTTACCGGAGGGGATAGGGGGTAGGAATCATCAATTTTACGAACGGGGCACCGGAGCGCCCCCGGTCATCCCATGACATTGGATTCCAATGTCATGGAACCCCACCCATTATAAAATACATGTATGCTTATTTGAAAATTACACGAAGTTTATTATGGTTATACAGAATATATTTTTACGAATAACACAATAATCAATACTAACAAATAAAATATGTAGAATTAGTATTTTATTATTTGTAAATAAATTATCTACCAAGGATGTAGGGAAAGATAAATATAGAGTTTTTGAGTTTTATAATTTGTTCGTGTGTCTTTAGCATTGTTCAAGGTTCATATAAAAAATACTCATTCCCTCTCATAATTAAATTTAAAAAAACAATTTATATTACCAATTAATTTTATTTTGAATAAATTTATTTAAATAACAATACAAAATTCTACAATTTTATTGTGAAACGACTCCTGAATTAGTTTCTCTTATTTATTTGTCTATGAACTTTACTCGCATTCACATACATTGACTGCTATGCGTTTATTCTTGTCCTTGAAGATTGAAACCACCCATGGATATCAAAACATAATCTCTTGTGACCTCCCTTCAGTGTTTATCTATTTTTCATTCGTTCACCGTCTTGTCCCGTCACAATAATCATGTGGGAAACCTTGCAATAACCTTGCGGGATCATCATCTAATCACTTGTATCTCCTAGAAGACTTTCTACACAAGAAATCAACTGTAAATTTTTATTACGGTAGCACCATTACCATCTAACTAGGACACATATGGCATGTCTACATATTCTTTTGATGTAGACTTTTGAAACAAAACACCACCTAAAGATCTTCTGATTCTATTTTTTTTGCCTGTCATCACACTAAGAATTCCGAAGAACGTAGTCTATCATTTCAAAATGCTTTGAACCTCGACTCTGATACCACAACTTGGAACCACGCATACCCTCGTCTCAATCCCACGTTAGTAGGATATTATCTGTTTTAGAACAAACCTTCATAAATTTAATTTTAGGTACATACCAAAGGACCTCATACTAAAGAATTGGTTAAACTTATTTATAGCTTAATAGCTTGTCTAATTGTTTCCTATTTTTCAGGGCACCGTGAACAAGGTAAATATTTAATTATAAATTGCATTTTTCTGAATGTATTTTTCCAAATCCATATCTATTAAGATCCGCTCGGTACATAGAATAGATAAAGTTAGAATTGAGAGATGAAAGTCTACGGAATTGATTTTGATGGAAATAAATTCTTTAATTCCAATACATTTTTTGCACTACCAATTTCAAATACACATATATTTGTGATATCAAAGCGAAATTGAAATCATTGTCTCCATTTCAATTCCATAGTTTAAATTTCGCATACCAAATGGAGTCTTACGGAGCACAAACTAAATATTCTTTTTTTATTTGTCGTTGTCACGACTAAAGTAAACAATGATTAGACATGTTCAAGCACGAATCCGAGCTAGATTTAATACTCACTCCGTCCCAAAAAGTCTTTCCTGTTTCATTTTTTGTGCATCCCATAAAACACTTCTACCGACATCTAAAATGTCTAAAATTTACAACATTTCTTCTTTATTGTGGGTAGAAGTTATTTTGAAAGTTTTTTTGGCATTCAAGGCGGGATAGAAGTGTTTTATGGGATGCGCAAAAAATGAAACAGGAAAGACTTTTTAGGACGAAGGGAGTACTAAATAACAATCGTGTATTTTTAAGGGCGAGCCCGACCCAACAAAAATCAAATGAGCTCAAAGCGATGCTCATATCCGCCCATCTAGGCAGGCCAAGCCACCGATCGGGCGTTCAGGCTCAAGAATGGTATCAAGAAAAAAAACATGTAAAATAAAATGGAAATCACCTTGGCAACAATTTTACTAAAAAAATAGTACCAAAAAAATAATCCAACACGACCAAAAACAAAACAAAAAAAAATTGTTCCAATATTAACTTCAAATTCACGACATGTTACATATGGCCAAATGTAAAATACAAAACTAATAGATTCCAATTCGGGAGATCAATACACCCTCTGTCCCAAACAAAGATTCTTCATTTTCTTTTCGGGACGTCTCTAAAATACTCTTCTTTCCAGTTATGAAAAAAATTGTGGCTCACAATCTGTCTTTGACATTACTTTCCACCACACAATTTTATTTTTCTTAAACTTTATGTAAAATCCAAAGAGGAACCTTTTCTGAATCCCAACACTTTCCAAGACCCCTCATAACCCTAAGAAGAGGAAGGCAGAGGCTGCAACATATGCAATCTTGGAAGGCATCATGTTATCAAAAGACTCTCAATATACAAGGTCCTGGTATTCAAAACCAAGATCTGCACCGGGGGTATTAGTGCAATAAACTCCATCTTTTTTTACTGAGAAACCCATATGGATAATCACCGACCGTCTTCTTTACATCCAGCTCTACTGCTATTCATTCATAGTTATCTATGGTAACTATAACTTCTGAGTTGTAAATTGGTAAAAGGCAAAAAATTAACAAAAAGAACAAGTCCAAGGATGAGCTGTACACCGCAGGCTGGTAATGCAGAAAAAAGGGGCAATCCTCCATATAGAAAACCACATTTAGTTATACTATGTAATGTATAAATATGTACCCTTCAAGCGCATGCAACCTGCTCTTTCCTCATCATCTCCAAGTTCTTCAATACACTTGCAGTTAAACTAGGATCCTCGTATCCAAGCTCCGGGCCAATTCTGAAGGAACAATTTTAATTAATTAATTAATTATATATGTGTGTGTGTGTGTGTGTGTTATACACACACACACACATTTCATTTAGCACAAGAGTTCAAATGACATTGAACTTCAATGACATAACATGACATCGGGTCCCCAAGGTGCTCTGCTGGGGCCAAAAGTGGTTCCTAACCCCCACTGCCCCCTCCCCAAACTGCCAAATTGCTACGTTGGGGAGCTGTGGTGGGGTGTAGGGGCGGGGTCTTTTTTGGAGGATTAGAGGGAGTATGATCCACTTTCAAACCCAGGGGAGCACCATAAGTGCCCGATGTCATCCTATGATATTGACTCCAATGTCATTTGGACTGAGTCGTTCTTTTAATCCACATTTCTAGAACAGATATTCTGATGTGTAAGCTTCTTACTTTGGATCCAGAACCAGTTTCTGAACTTCTTTAATGGCAGAACTTGCTGCATAGAGTGATATCTTTTCCACCTGCTCAAGTGACAAACAAGAAGGAATGAAGGATCTGAAGAGATTAATTCTCCATCCAAAAATTATAAGCAACGGATGACAAGATAAGGAAAAAATGCAGACCTCCAACATTTGAAGCTTGGTTTCATGAGCATTATGAAGACCGCGAATTTCTTTTGTCATTCTCACGGCTTCCCCTAAGCTTTCCGGAGAGAGGAAATCAAGGCCCAACTGAACTGTCGACTGCATTGTCATTAATTGTCATCACCTCCGTCATCATCATCAACATCATTAATTATCAGCACCATAATCCCAACTAGGTGGGGTTGGTGGCATTAAACTTACAGTGTTAATTAATTGTGTAAAATTAGTTAAAACTTTAAATTAATGCGAAGAAAAAGAAAATAGTGAGAAATGTTCAAGGTTGGATGCCCTTCGTCTTGCAACCTTCTTTAGGAGAACTTAGAGATGGAAATTCAAAAACAGTCAACATCATAACTATTCCCACGCGCATGCAAATTATCATGAAAAGGCAACAAGCAGATGTAGTCTGTATTTGATATTGTAGTCATAAAGGTCAAAAAGAAATTAGACTATATTTGCTGAATGTTTCCTACAAAAACAAAGATGATAGCCTAGATCATTTTATCACTATAACTACATTTTGAATTGAGATACTAGAGAGGCTGTTTCCCAAAGCTCACAAATACAAAGGAAATATGTTACTATAATCCATACATAACGCAATTGTAGGAAACAAACAGGAAAATTAATGCGATCATCTCACCTGAAGATTCCTCGCCTGGAAAGGACAGCCTGCAGGAATGAATATAGCATCCCCCAGATGCTGCTCAAACGACCAAGGTTCTATTCCTGAAAAGATTCAAGCCAAAGGGACTTTCTGGTTTAGGGAATAATTAAGAAAAAACAGAGAAACGGAAGAATGCCAGCTTGCAATAGGTTAATATAGAATACAAAAGAAGACAAACATTGTTAGACAAAAATTAGAAATGTGGGCTGTAGCATACATACAAGAAACTGCTCTTACCAAAGTTGGCTTTAAGCTTTTCTTTATGATGTGTGTTCAGATATATCGTCCCATCATAAAGAGGACTAGGAACCTGTGTGCAGCAATGGAGATTTAAGCAAATAGAAGTCAAACTTGAAATCATAGTTTTACCCTAAAATGATCTAGTTCAAATACGAAATAAACTCAGAATCATTTATTACATTCTCAGGCTCTCCAGATTCATTTTTATGACATCTTAAATACTCAACAAGCTTTGGTATATCCTGCCGTCGAAAGACATCCCAAGTAGCTCCAGATTGTGTACCCTCAAAATTGTTTGCATAATTGCAGTTCAAGTCTTCACCGCCAATATTATCTGAATTGGAGCTAGAAATTCTGGCACCCTGATCCACCAACACTTGAGGAGTATTCATATTAGCACCATTCTCTTCCTTCATATCCAGCTCAACATGTGATAAAGTGTGCAAATCTCCGTACAGATTGTTTTTTGTATCATAATTTGCTTCTTTGGCTTCATAGTCAGCATAAGTCTTTTGTATCTTCTCTGATTTAGCCCGCTGCCAACCTTTCAGTTTGACCTCTCTTGTATGTATTAATAAAAACACCTATTATAGAATGGAAGAAGTGAAGAACAAGAATCTAATTAGTTCACTTACTAGTTGGAACAGTCTAATTACAGATGCCACTAAATAGGATCTGGGCAGGATCTACCTGAACTCAGATCCATATTATTATTTTTTGTTTGGACTCATTCTATCCATATCCATAATCCAATGGGTCTTTGGCAGATCTTTAGCGGTTCCACATTTTATATTTTTAAAATTAGTATTTAATAATTATACACAATACACACAGTCTTTCTCTCAAAATGAAGCCAAAGATTGACTATTTTTTGCTTTGGGGTATGATGGAATAAAGCAAAATGGCTCATTAAACTGCATGGGCTTCTTTTAATAGTGAAGTAGCAGTTAGTCAATGCAACTTTCAACGCTCATCATGGGTCATCCGGAAACAGCCAATCTATGTCTTAAACATAGGGGTCAGGCCGAGTACTGTTAGGAATCAGAGATCAGAGGCGGTCAAGCGGAAGCAAACAAACACACACACACACACACACAAATAGCAGAAAATAAGAACACGAGATTTAACGTGGTTCGGTCAGTAACCTACTCCACGGGTTGCAACTAGGGTTTATCTTTTATTAGGTGCTCACAGATTATAGTTACATGATTCGGTATTTATAAGATATAAACTAGGGTTAACAACTTGCTAAACAAGAAACAACTAATGGGCCCTTTAATTAATAACTAAAACCGGCCCCCCATATTTCTTCCCTTTAGCCGACCGGGCTTAAAGCCCAAAGCTCTAAAGCCTTCACCGTATAACCCAACAATCTCCCACTTGAAGGATTTCGCATAGACACAAACGCCATCCAAGTAAACCCATCATGAGTAAGTCAGTAATCTTCACTGTCGAGTCCTCCAAGCCTCCAGTTCCCAAGAACAAGCTAAGACTCCAGTTATATCCCCTAGTTGCAACCACCCCCTTCATTAATAACCTGAAAGGACAGTTGAAGCTCCACCGAGCTCCAACACAGTCGTGACTGTAACCGCCACAGCCTCTGTCTCAACCGGCTTGCACAATCCACCGGATCCAGAGATACACCGAGGACCATTACCACTCTCCAAATCCAGCAAACTATTCCCAGGAGAGATTTTAACGTTCGGATTCTTGGTCCTCAAAACCCAACGACGTTTCAGAACTGTACTCGGAACACGTCCCATGCTCCCACTATCACGAAACCCCTGACCTGATTCAGACCTCCGAACACACTCAACTGTCATCCCCAAAACTCCAAGATTCACGTTTGCAAAATGAACCTTCTTAGCTTTGCC